TTTTTTTTTTTTTTTCACACACACACACACACATATATATATATATATATATATATATATATTTTTTTTTTTTTTTGAATGAGGACATACTTTATATTATGGACATCAATCTTTCTAGTTGTACAGAATAATGGTTCACGTAACCATTATATAACACTTACATGAGAGTGGGCGTGGTTGGTATTTTTTCCAATTTTTTGCTCACACCGGGAGTGTTTTTATACAAATAGACTTATTGTAAAGACATATTGAGAATTTGAGATTTTATCATTTGTTTAATTACTGAAATGGGAAAGAGAGTCATAATTTTCATTTCAGACTTGTAAAAAAGGATTGCAGAAAAAAAGAAAAAGAAGAAGTCTCTTTTTACCTATTTAGCCCTTGTTTGGGCTCCATTTTAGTCAAAATTTGAGAATAAAAATGTATATTAAAATTGTATTTTTTTTAAAGAATGTATGGTTAAAAAATTAGAAATTTTTTTGAATTTACTTGTAATATACTTTATGAGAGAATGTGTGATTAAAAATGAATTTTTAAGAAAAATCTATTTTGAAAAAATGGAGCCCAAACAGGGGCTTAATAGAAAGCCAAATTATCATTGCCCGTTGATAAGTTTGTCCGGCTGACGAATATTCATCATGGTTTTTCCCATTACTCCTATATAGGTCATGTGATTTCCTTCCTATCAATTTTATTGAAACGAAATGAAGAAATAGAATCAAATTTCAAAAATAAAATTCAGTTAACGCAAGGGTTTGACTTTTTGCATTTCAAGGTTTAAAAATTGAAATTTTTGGATTTACGATAGGATTTTATTTTTCAGGAAATTCACTTTCTCTTTCTCTGTCTTGTCTATCCACTCTCTCATCTACCCATCAATAAAAAATAGACAATTATAATAATTTCTAAATAAAAAATTAAATCAATCAAACACATTTAATTGACAATTTTCATGCAAATAAATTTTAGGCAATTGAACTATCTAGAATTTATTTTCTTTTCATACAAATTCCATACTTACAATCAAACGCACCCTTACTCTTTTTTTCATTAACCCTTAACCACCTTTCGAACCCTAAAAATCCCATATATGTAATCGCCGACCCATTCTTATCCAAATCTCTATAATAGAGGCGATCCCAAGGGGGTCCTGGGAGGTCACGTGACCCCCAACTTTTGAGTATTTTCTTTTTTATGGGATAAGTCCTATTGAGTATCGATTGAAATCTAAACTTTAATATAAATCAAAGCTAATAATTAATTTTAATAACATATTTAATGAAACCCTTAACATTTTAACTTTTATCAAAATTTATAAAAATTTGATTTTAACCTCTACTGAATAGCGGCAAATCACAATAAATTTAATTTTTTTGTTTTCACTTACTTTATCTTACTTTCTCCCTTACACCTTTTACCAAAATCTTAATATTTCTAATTTTTTAAAATGTTTTTATATTTTTTCTACAAATTATCACATCTACTACAAATTTTCATTTTTCAATCTTTTTTTTTTTAATTAATTAGAAGTTAAATTTGCATTTTCTCATATCCTATTTGTGTACATAGAATGTGTCTGAACTGATTATATTCTATTTAACTTATATTTAACGAACTGTATTTATTTCATTGAATATTAGTTATATATTTTTCCTTTCGATTATTGGAATTGACTGTTCGAAATCAAACGAATGAAAATGATGAGCAAAATATTAATAAAAAAATATTTTTTAAATGTAAATTTACATTTTTTGGATCAAGTATAAATAATTTAAAAATGAATAACAAAGTATTCGATTTATACAGAGTTTGATTAACTAAAAATTTCTGCGTCCGCCACTGAATCTCTGATCCCTTCTCAATGTGAATCTATGCTTGAAAAGGTTTGGGAGAAGTAGAGGCGCTAAACTGACTTGTCATGTTTTTAGAATAGTCTAGCGAAATTTGATTACAAAATGTGAGGTTGATAACACTATTATGATGAATTTTCAAAAAATAAAAAATAAAAGAAATTCAAAGATATGAATGAATGAATCTCTAAGTTGTGTTATTAATTTGATGAATTGGGGCCTCTAGATATGTTGCCCAAGTGTCTGATATAGGATTGGGGTGGAATCCTCGAATGCTGTGTTGTGTAACCAAATTGTCCCCCAAATTCATAAAATTCTCCAAAGAAGAAGAAATTTGCGACCTGCACCTATGACCCGGAATGCTACACACTTCAGAGGGTGCATCTACACAAAATTTCTACACACACGAATCCAAGGATCGAGTTCAGTTAGGACGGATCGAGAGCATTGAAAGGTTACTATCGACGATCAACGTCCGTGATAGCGGGGTTGTTTATTAATATTTAATTAAATAATATTTAAAAAATCATATGGATTAAAACTAGAAGAACTAAATATACCACTAGAACTAGATAGGAACTTTCATTTTTGATAAAAAATAAAAAAAAAAAAAAATCGTTCCATAATATGCAAAATGCCCTAATTTATTTTTCAATTAAATAGGCAATATATATTAACAAAATGCCAATATTCAATTTACAATTAAAGTTGATTAAACGAGTATTATTATATTAACAAAATTGAAATTACTTATGTGCTTAAATCAATTTTATGTGCTTATATGATTCCACTTTTTCACAATCGATCTTTTGTGAACGAAAAGTGGAACATTTTATTAATTAAGAACCTGTTTGAGCCACATTATTTCAAAAAAATGCATTCTTAAACAGTGATTTGATATCATTTCAACCACACATTCTTCAATAAACTAATATTATATGCAAATCAAAAAAAATTTCTTATTTTTTAACTACACATTGCCCATCAATACACTATTCAAGAATGCATTATTACCAAAATAATGTGGCTCAAACACCTCCTAAATAAGTTTTGTTAAAAGATTCCTTATGACACTAAAGCCAATTTTCCTACAAATTCATCAACCATTAATTGACCAAGCTCTCAAATAAATTGATTAGAGGGGGAAAAAAAAGAAAATCATGAAGAGGGACAAAACACCGGTTAAAATGTTTCTACTTGCATTAAACCAGTAAAATTGAATATATATTATTTTGTTACATTATGTGCTAAAAATCAACAAGTACCGTGATGGTAAAGTGGTCAATATATTTAAGGAAGATAACAAGTTCAAATCACTTTTATTGCATTTATTTTGGTAAAAATTGTTGAAATACAAAAATTATAAAAAAATATTGCTCTTGAAGAGTTTTAAATACAAGACCTCCAATTCAAT